AAAATTTATTTTAGACTGAGCTGAAAAACCTGAAAAGCACTGTTTTATTGAACTTGTGTCTTTGTTGTATTGTGTTTATTTTCTGCTATTGCTTGTAATTTGGTTATCTGTAGAAAAGATTTTTAGCACTGAGCCCATAGTAGCAGCCAGAATTTTTTTTCCAATTGTTTATTTTCTTTATTATTTACATTTTTATTTAAATTATTTTTTTGTTGTGAATGTCCCAATTGGGGTACAGGATGTGAAAATTTCAGATAAATGTTGATGTTATATATTTTGGTTGCATTTGTGAGTTAATAAAAATGTAGATGGTGGTTTAAAATAGGTATATACTATCATAATATCGATCGATATACTGTATCGAATCGAATCGTAATCGTATCGTAGCATTTTTTGAGGTATCGGCAAATATTGTATCGCTGGGTATGAGAATCGATATCGTATCGTATCATGACGAACCATCCAATTTACACCCCTAGTATTTATATATACATAATAAATACACACAGTACACATATATATTATGTAAATAAAAACTTATATTTTGGATGCGATTAATCGCGATTAATCATTTGACTTTTTAAACACTTTTTTCACAGACATTTTCTCAAAAATAACCACATTATTATTAAACATTTGAATTTATATATATATATATATATATATATACATGATTAAATATCTATGTCATTATAGCATTTCATTGTGTTATACATTTTAATTTTATATTAGGATTAACTATATTTAAGATTATATATCTGTATCTAAAATTTTGTATTAGCATGATTATAAGGCCATCCAATGTATGTGATTTTGGCGTACTTGTGGTTTCAGTTGTTGTGTTTCGTACATTTAAAATACATTTTAGTTGGTAATTGTGATATCTTTGTGAAAACTTTCGTACAGATTTCTCACACAAATGTATTTGTGTGTACGTAATGTGCTTCGTAAATGAGAAAATTGTCCCACATACCCTGCTGAAGCTGAACAAGATGCTTTGTGTTTGTGTTCAGATGAAAACACGTGACCGCTACATCAGCAGTCTGAAGAAGAAATGCCAGCGTGAACAGGAGCAGAATCAAGAGAAGCAGCAGCGCATCGAGACGCTGGAGAAGTACCTGGCAGACCTGCCCTCGCTGGACGAGGTCCAGACACAGGCTCAGCAGGTCCGGGGCCGGGCCGTCCTCCAGCTTTATTCTGAAGTCCTAAACTGCAAAACCTGATCTAACAGTCTTTTACATTTAACCTGATTACCTTAGATGCTACTTTTTCCTTGTTTATCACCATCCTGTTCAACCTTAAATCTGATTGTCAGCCCCAAAAATCAAACGTTAATCAGGGCATAATTAGTGTCTCCTTTCAATGCTAAAGCAACACAGCAGTGTCCGTCCCCACGGCGTTCTGCTAATAGATCAGCACAAACAGCTGCTGATGTGACAGACGCTCTTCATTATGGTTGGGAATAATCTTATTTGTGGGTTATTAAATCATTGTTTTGTGCAGTTTACTAGTGAAGATTAATATTATCTGACAGTCAACAGCAAATTTTTGGTGTCACATTTTTCTTACCTGCTTAGTACTTTGGCGTAGTTTGAGGCATCTGTCACTACACCCAGATGATGTCTGCTGATTTTTTCTGTGCTGACATTGGATTAAATGCAATGCAGTTTACTGCAGAAAATCATCTTACTCATTAATATTTTAGTCTCCCTTTTCAGTACATATCAGAATATCCTTAAAACAGAATATCCTTAAAACAAGATACATTTGTGTACTAATTGTTTTTTTTTTTTAAACTGAATTTGTTATAAATTCATTTATTATTTTATTTTATTTCACAAATGGAAGTACGTGAATTATGTAGTGACCAAAAATGGCTGAACAAATCGAAACGAACATTATTTATTTTATTTATTTTTCACATTTTTTTTTTACTTTATTTTGTTTTGTTATTTTATAAACAAGATTTTGTATGGTTAATGCTAAAAACAAGAATTGGATAAGCAAAATAAACACACAAATAAAATAACGTATTTCTAAATACTAGACTACTAACTACTAATATTTTAGCTCAGAACTACTCGCCAAATGAAAAACATTTGTATCATTTTGTATTAGTATTATTTTTTACCTTTCAGAGAAAGGCAATATTAAAAAAAAAAAAACTTTTTATTTATTATTTAATTATTTTAAAATAAATAATTATTTATTTTTATTTTATTTGAAAAATATTTAAGTTATCAAATACATGAAATAACAAATGGAAGTATTAAAAATTGAAATGAACCAATTGAAGTGACCAAAAATTGTTGAATAAATCAAAACATTTGATTTGATTTGATTTTAAATGTTAGAGTCCGAACTACTGTCCAAGTTCTTCCCACACTGCAGCGTAAAATGCTGAAATAACACTTCAGACACATTCTCATTTTATTTTATTTTATTTTTCCTAGCTCATTGTCAAAGAGTTTTGTCTTGCTTTAAGCATAAATCTAACAAAATGTATAAGGTTTATGCTAAAACATAAAGAAAACTACTTGTCAATTGAATAAGTAAAATCAACACAAAGAAAATAAAAAAACACAAATTTACTAATATTTTAATTCACTTGTTTCTGAAAACAAGTCATGTTATTTTTTCTTCTCAATTAAATATTGATTTAGTGTTGTCTGCATGTTTAAATATTATTTTGAGCAATTTTCTGGAAAGCAAGAAAAAAATTCTGATCACGGGCAAATTAAAATTTCACATTTGAGTAAACGTTATAAAATTGTGTTAATAAACATGTGTCAAGTGTTTGTAATGTGTAGTAGTTACTGTACTCATCTCTGTCCGTATTGTGGCATCTCAGTTGCAGGAAGTGCAGGGGAAGAAGCAGACTTTGGAGGACACCGTCGCCAAGCAGGAGAAAACCCTGGAGGAGAACCGAGCCCTGCTGCAGGAGAAAGACGCCCTCATCGAGACCCAGTCCAAACGGGAGAAAGAGCTTGTGGCTGCTGTGCAAAGGTACTGCACGACCTCACAGCCAGAAGCATTGCTTTCTGAAAGCCACTTTTTATATCTAAAGTGCTCAGTCCTTGTTAAGTGAGCTGAAGATCAAAGTGCTGTGTACTCTTATTAAAACATAGAAAACATGGCGTAAACACGGGGATGAAATCAGGCCAATCATCCGCTCGGACTGAAAAAAATAATAATGGAAGGCCACAGCAGCTTTGATATATGTAATGAGGATCTATTAAGATTTCTCTCTGTGCCTTATTTGACCCAATGAATGAAAAAACTGAATGTTTATAGCCTGCAAGAGAAAGTGGAGACGTGCTTGGAGGATGGAGTACGGCTGCCCATGCTGGACCTGAAGCAGCTGGAAAGGGAAAACACTCGTCTGCTAGAACAACAGAGCCAGAACAGCCTGGTACTGATCCCCCATGATGCACCTAATGATGCTTAAAAATACATTACTGTAATCATTTGCTGCTTTTATTTCCGGATGTCTCTGCTGCAGATGTCTTATAGTACAGTATAATCAATACATTTACTGGTAGATTGAAATTTTGCAATAAAGACTGAACATATAGACCTATTTGGAGTAGACGTCACAGTTACGTCACTTGCAGCTGCATGCGCATAGTGGTGGCAGAAAAACACTGGGAACAAGTGGAGGAAACGGGTAAAATCCATGGAATAAGAGAAAAAATGTATTGTTGTGCATTTGGATGTCAGAATCGGAATGCAAATAATTTTTATATAACACTGTAGTCAAAGACGCCATTTGAAGCTAAACGCAGACG